GTCGCAGCCATGCCACAATGACACCAAACGTGAAGGTTATGGAGGAGACCGTCTGCAGAGTACAACGAGTCGCAAAGGACGTATCGTTTTCAATCAGTACAGGTCGGATTGCTTCTTGGACTTATGGTGCGATTGAGTATTACTGGAAAGAAAGTGTAATGTGCCGACAACAAAGTTACAGTGCGGATCATTTTCGCAGCTCCATTGAAAGAGTTGGATGAGTTCACAGAAAAGCTCTGAGAGGGGGATGGGTATAGATGCACCATTCTGATGTGAAAGTGCATTCTTTTTTCAGAGTCAGAGTCCCGTGTGATTCTCCCTTCCTTAACCCATAACGGACGGCGTGCGCCACATGGTGGCGCACGATTATTTCTTTTGTTTTTGGAATGTTTCTAGCAATCTTAATATACCCATATATACTCTCAGCAATGTGGAATAACATATCTTCCCAGGACCTGGACGGCTGGATTTTTGACAAACCTACAATAAATTTTACATACACTTTGTCTTAATTTACATAAGTTTACTATTTGATGGGTGGCTTACCCATGGTTCGCACGTCCCGAGACCCCTTCCCCTAAATATAGCCACATCCTTGCTCGGGGTTGTTGTTTCGCATTTTTCGATAATGTCACCTACAGCTTCCATTCATTCTTTGCACCCTAGTTTTAGAGCGGAAAGGCGGGTTACGAACTTGTCGTCAACGGAAATCTCTTCTTTTGGATGATGAGACAAGGACACCTACTTTAGCCCCGTCTTAACCCTGCTGTTCGCATAAGCCTACATAAACCCTACCCTGGGTGGCGGCGTGCGCCACCATGTGGCGCACGCAACAAATACACTGGCCGTCCGTTATGGGTTAACTACGGGGTGCGATTTTTAGAGCCTAGTGCTCCTACTCCCTCCTCACCCTTAGCACGTGAACCACCACCTCTGCTAGTAGAGTTCCTTACTAACTAACTCAAGGAGAGCATTTTATAAGGATCTAGCCGCGATTCGTGTCTTCAATCTTGAATCAATGTTTGTAGCGTGAAGGTAAAGAAAACTGTCAAAGGCACGTTGTCACCCATTACATATGCAGCCTAGCTGATGACATATTGAGGTCGCTCATTTGTCCAAAATAAAAAAGCTGAAGGTGAATCGCTTTCCATCGTCACGTCAAATTCTTACATAATTTTTATTTTCTGTGAAGAGGAAAGGTGCACAGTATTGTTGCGGCGATCGAATGGGTAACTAACCCAGGTTAAGACGTAGACTGTGCACAGCAGCATCAATTAAAGAGCCATCGGACACCGTTAGAAACTGGTCAAAAAACAACATTTTGTTGGCCACCCCAATATATGTATTAGAGCTACTGCACTGGTTGCAATATTACTTAACGGTTAACACGGTTGTGGCGCGGTCCCTGTATCAGCAGAAAAAATTGTGCTATACCTCGCTATGTATTTACGAGCCCTAGTCTCGTTTTCCACTCTAGCTGCTTCGAAGTAGCAGTTGATTGCCGGCAATCCACGTGATAGCGCAGATGCCTCGTGTCTGGAACATTGTTTATATAATACTTTTCAGGTTGGCAGTACTTTGAAGTAATCCACTCTCACTGAAGAATAAATTGTCCAGGTGATGTGCCCAATTCTTGAACATGCTACACGCCGTGTTCAGTTGTGGAGAACTGCTCGGATCGACCATGGTGCTGCAGCAGAAACGCATGCATCGCATCGTCGTTTCTAAGGAAGACAGTATTTAAAGCCATAATTATATTAATCCGCTCACAGCTCTAGAGGTCACATGCTCATTTGACTTCTGCTAGGAATGAGGGTAGAGAGTTTAGCCGAAACAGGTAAATCTCTAGTCTCGAATACAAACACGGCTTCGACATAGGTAAATAGATCCTTCGACGGATATGGCAAAAGCAGTGATGAGAACTCAGCCATTAATTTACCTCCTAGGCATGACCGTGAAATAAAGAAAGTCCGCATTGAGAACTGATGCTAGCTACAGCCGTTCGATAGTTATGTCAAAGTTGCAAATAGACAAGACCTACATAGGCTATTTGGCCTCCTCTTGGTTAGATAGCTTTCAGTTTGCAGTAGCTGGGTATAAAAGCAGAGCTACCATAAAGTAAAGGTGAAGAAAAACTAAGAGAGACTTAAAGGGGCAGACTGAGTACCAGAGGGCATCGACAGCCGCAAACAAATAACCACCAGGCCTGCTGGTCCGCTACGTGCGCACTATTCCTGTAGTAAGCGCCTCGTTCCGTTCCCTCAAAGGTCTTTCTCTCTTTATATTAGATTTAGTTGTCCTCTTTCGACCTCTAATTTACCCTGCCCTGCTTTTGATATAAACTGAGCTCTAGCTGACGAGTGCAGCAATGGTGCCGCTCGTCGCCTTATATTCGGTGCATTCGCTCCAGTCGTATGAGGAAAAGCTTCAAATATTGAAACAAAATTTCAAATATGGAATCATTACTTGTCCAACTGGCTGAGAATGGAGCCTTTCTGGTAGAAAAGACGACAACATTGATCACGAGAGAAATCTTCGATACGAGCAGCTTCGGTCATAAGTAGTGCCTAAAGGTGAGATATGTATTATCGAAGACTATTCAGTCATTGGCAACTTCGTACCTCGTGAAGAAGATCCATTTTTTGCTGTGCAGTAGTCGTATGTTTCTTTGCTACTCTTCGCAGGGTTTTTAGATGATCAATGATCTTCTGATGGCAGTCCATCATTGGAAGGGTAATCAGTGTATGCAATCTAAAATCCATGATGGAAGTTCTACAAAGCAACTCAAAAGGGTGGAACCATACTTGTTCAACGTTCTAATCGCCACTTGATCCATTCCTCTTTCTCGCGCCGCTCTTGCCAGGAATAGTTGCCCGGTAGCTGCAGAGTGAATCGGGAGAATCGACTGGGGATTCATACCAGGAGGCATTACAATCTGCAGTGGGTACAATAATACAAGGCCGTATTTCTAGTGTCACCTGCGGATATTATCAAGCGACTAACTGACCCCGCTACGTTCCCACTCATGGAATTGCTGGACCATCATTGTGTGGATCTGACTTCGCCAATCATACATCAATGAAATAAACGACATGTCATCGGACAAAGAGTAGGCACGGGACCTGCAAAACGAACTCCATTATTTGCACTAAATATAATCTGGAAAAGTTGAGCTGAGAAGGTTGTCTCTTACAAACAGAACCTCCATATTTTAATGACAGTCTTCATCTCCTGCATGACGGCACCGCAGTTCTGATTCCCAGCATCAAGTGCGCGTTTTAGATCAAGCACATCTCCCACTTCACGGATCATCGTCATTTGCTGAATTGGCAGGAATGTAAACGTACAATTTAACGGAAAATGAGGAAACCGAGAGAGAAAAATTGCTACCTGGAGCAGTTTTGTGTGCGCTGGTGTCAGAATTGGAGGTAGAACGCGCCAGCCAACAACCAATGCCTGAGTGAACCTCCTCGACCATTTTCTTCGGATGTGTGACAGGAACTTCTTCTGGGTCACCCTGCAAGCTCATGCAAGTATCGACAAAAAGTGATGTAAATGAATGATGGCGCAGTTTCTCGTCATAATATCACGGATGTACCAAACGAGGTTCACCGTAGCGGTTGCACTTTTCAACAATTTTGCATTCGGCTCCAATAGGGGCGGGGATGCAGAATTGATGGAAATTAGGGCCCCGATGCGACCCCCATCCCGTCATCAGTCTTTGTAGGCTCCCCAATTCAACACCATTCCTCCTACCATACAACCACCACCCTCTCACAGTCATGGCTGTTTCTGTACCTAGTATTTATAGCACTTCACCAACCACGATCAAATCTATTTCTGAAACCGCCTTCGATAGGGTAGAGCAGTGACGGGGGTAGGGGAGGGAGTAAATTGGCATCAGAAGCGATAAATCCATTATTTTCTGTCTTATTTACCCGGCCGGGAACCTTCCCCAAACCTGTCAAAAACCCGTTAAATACCGAAACAACTCCCTTTACCATCTGTATTCACTTTTCCGGATAAAAATCTCCTTGCTCAACATCACAATGCGACCTCGCCTTCCCAAAATCATAAGAAGCGACCCCCTCGTTTGAATAGGGCGAAAGGACGGTTGATCCTGGTCCCAAATGTACTCAAAAAATTCTGCATGATTCACAGTAACCGCCGTAGGAGGCAACATCTCAAGATTATCTTGTATTCAAGGAACCTCACGTTCACTTGGTAACCCACTATCAACGTAGTAGTTCAATTTAATGGGAACTTAGAGCTGAGCCACAGAAGTACCTTTGGTTCATCGTTTTCGCTGGCATTGGCCACTCAACCTCCTGCGCTACCTGACGACCTTCCTCACGCCGCACCGGCTCGTTCGACAGTTTGATGCATCAAAAGGACTGGAAAGCACGCCGATCTGGTGTTCCTAACCCACCGTAACGCTCACCAGTCCCAAATTATACATAATTTTTCAGTTCTGGTTTACCTCACACTCACGATACCGCTCTCCTCCAACCCACCGCGCACGCCAAGTATTGCCGTTGCACCCACACCCTTCACACCGGATGGCCTATTGTTCAGGACCGCTACGGGTGCGCGTTGAGCTCGCATTCGTCATTGAACACGCGTCCTTGATAGCGACGAGAGGGCAATGGTGGGACATAAGTGGAGTTCTCTTAAATAATATGGACGTGATAAAGCTGTTAATCGCGTAATGCGTATTAAGGATCCGATTAATGATGTCGAAAGGATGCATTTATGAACATTACTAGAAAAAAAGGTAGTAGACATTAATACGTCAATCAGAAGACAGCGCTTACCATAACTTGAAGACTCAAACTAGGATCATTTATTGTCTAACTCTGGGATGGCGAAATCTGGGCGAATACAACCGATAATCTGAAATGGTGAAGATCAAGACCCGGAAAGACATGCTACTGAAGAGAAATCACTTGATCACGGCATTGTTTGGCAAGACTCCAGTCGGGAAGGTGAACAGCGGCTTCGAAAAGGAGTTCTGGATTCTCAACATGAGAATTTTTCGCAATGTCACACACCACTCTCCAGCGGCACAACTCCTTCGTGCATCTAAAATAGTCGTTAATATTATGTACATTTATTTTTTTTCTTAAAGGAATCTTCCACGGACCATGGACCAGTGGGCGGGACCGGAAGTGGTTTTGCGACGAAATGCATGGTAGGTACGGATCCACGTTCATGGGAAGGTTTGAAGTGAATCCTGTTCACGTTCGTGCGTTCGACACGTGGATCCGTACCTACCATGCATTTCGTCACAAAAACTTCCGGTCCCGCCCACTGGTCCATGGTCCGTGGAAGATTCCTTTAAGAGTACACAACGAAAAATGAAGCTAACGGAAAAAGTTCTAGACAAGAAACTTGTCAAGTTTATTACTAATAAATACAACAGCAGCCACGTAGAGGCAACATGACTGCGAAAATAATGTATCCATTACTACACCATGAACACTGTTCAGCGCTTTGTCACCAAACCAAATTCGTCCTCATCTGTCTAATATCGATAAGGCTACGGAGAAGAGAAGTGGGCATTGTATTTATATTAGAACAAATGCGTGAAACACCCTAATGAAACTTATCCAAAGTTCAAGAATCTAGAAAACATCATCCCAGTTGGTATCCTTTGCATTTTTCGCCCTTTATTTACGCCTTCGAAAATCGCCAGTTACCGAAAATTTCACAACCCCCTCCTTTAGAGACGTCTCGATACAGCCCTTCACCACCAGCATTAGCCTTAGGGGAGTCACTCACATCCGCGACCACCACCCTCGCTGCCAGTGCTGTTTCTATAGTATTTGATTTTGAGGCCAGCTGGTCGACACAGCCCAACCCCGCTCATTTTTCCTTCTAGCCTCTAAAATAGCCGTCTATCGGAGAGGGAGGGGAGAGCGGGGTAAGGGATATATCTGATGAAACAAGTTCTCCGATGTCGACCACTCCACGCTCAGATTTTCAAATCTCCACCAAAATTACCAAAAAGTACACTAAAAACGCTCCTCCGACCTCCCGCCACCACAATCCGTTCAACTTACGGAAATTAAGACCCCATTTTTCAGAGCTTCTGACCTTCACAAACCACTAATACGACCCCACCCAGATACAAATACAATCCCTTCGTTGAGAACTGCACAACGTACGGTCAACCCTGTCCACAAGTCACTGTGTCTATTTTACGTCAACGCATAGGAAGAAAGTTGATTAATGAGGTATGTAGAATTTTTGAAAGTAGAGACAAATCACTCACTGTATGTAAGAGCTATCAAGGAATTCATATTCTCTAAAATTAGCCTTCAGTGATGGCATTTTTCCCAAACTGGTTTTCCATTCGATGAAGCAATGTGCGAGCAGCCGACTGGCCCCATTCCAACGCTTCCTCGACGTCACCCTAATAAGGTTGGTTTTGAATTGTTTACAAATGCTAGGAGAAAATAGCTAGACGAAAGCACACACCAGCTGTTGCATAGCCAACATCTTAACAGTGTCCATTGTAAGTGCACGTCGATTCCACACGGCCGCATACTGATCCTGTTCAGCTAGTTCGGAGTAGAGCGTTCCCAGGCAGTACAGCACGTCCTGATCAGCATAAGTTACCAACAAATGAATACCAAAAGGAGGTATCCACCAAGGACCCGAAATCTAATCAAAAAATGGAGTAATCGAAGAAAACGAACCATGTTCTCTTGAAGTATTGCATCAGGAGCTTGCTGTGCACACACTGTATTATTGAGCATGGGTGGAATACAGAGCGCCCGATTTTCGAGCAACAAGATCCCACGATGCCATGAATGATAAAAGCGAGAGATGTACTGCAAAAATAAATCATAGACATTACTGAAAAGGTACTCGAAAAGTCTCCAAAGAAAATGGAAGAAGAAAATAAAGCCG